TTTTTACCCGGCCTATACGGTATGGTTTTTCCTTTGTACATAGCTGGAGCGGGTCCGAGGAGCCTGTTAGATAGGCATAGCGGGGTAGGAATAATAATAATAATAGGATGTCCTACTTTTCTGAAATTTCAACTGTCGCCTAGGTGAAATTCATTTTTAGGAAAAGGCTTGAAATTCGAAATTGAAAAATTTCATTCCGAAACCCTATTCAGCATAGCTTGAAAGTTCAGTCGCCTGCCTGCCGCGGCGGCAGATCCATGACAGTGCATTTAGGACATGAGAGCTGGAGCAGCACTGTGTACCGAATACTTACCCCACATTGAGGCAGCCACGATCTCGTCCGTGTGCTACAAGGCTCGGGGGAGACAGGGATCCTCGTCGGGCCGGTGGTCAAAATCTCCGTTGAACCGCCGGGTTGGCCGGTTGTACAAGTACTCGTACCACGGAGTCACGGACAGTACCAACCCGAGCCCTTACAAAATCTCCTGCCTCATCCTTCACTTACCATTCTCTGCCACCATAAAGGATCAAATTAGACCCAGCGCCCAAGAGAGCGAAAGCTCGACTCAACCTGTCACCTATTCCATCACTCCCACCACTCTGGCCAGACCGATTTCTGACCTCTCGACCATGTGCTCTCGATCCCAGTTAGGGTCTGAGGAATGGACACCCCAGCCTTCCACTCGAGCCAAGCTCTGCGACCTCCTCTTTCTCCTCTTTCAAATGAACGATTGACGCAGTCCTTTTTACCGCCCAAGCTTGCCCAATCGCTGTCGAGGCAACGGAATCGGACGAGTTCCGTAAAGGACTCTGGTCAGGCAAAGCCAGACCCAACATGAACCGTGGTTCCATGATTTGCTCGAGGCTCGCAAGAACCCGTCGTTCGGGAGCCGTCTTCGCCGCCCGTCCGGTGAAATTGACCCACGGGGCGCTGATTGCCATCGAAAGTAGGGGCCTCGAGTTTCTGTGAGGTAATACGGAGACTGCTCGTGGTAACCTTGGTGCCTGTGCCTGCATTCATGAGCTGTCCCTGCTGTCTTGCTGACCCCGCGGGCGATTTTCGCTTGCCCGCGCTAATGCCTCCATCGCTCGGGACTTTTCGGAACCCAAGTGTCCACGTAGTTTGGCCGGGCAAGCCCACAACTCGAAGGCGCTGAAAAATTCTCATGCTCTCCGTATGTCTTGCATTTCCGCCGTACTCCGGTTGTGCAAGGAAGGAGGAAATATTCCTGCCATTGCTCCTGCCAGTCTTCAGCGGCACAACTGGCGTTTGCAGGATCTTCGATGTGGCTGACGGGCGGTCTGACTGAAGACCAATTGGGAGGGCGTGAGAGGCCGATACCGGTCGGCTGGCGGCAACAGCTCATTTACGAGCTGCTGCTTGCTGTTGGCATGCCGCGGAACAATGGAAGTCGATGACTCCTACTGCGCTGTTTCCATGAGGTGGAGCAGAATTGGCCGAGTTGCAGAAGGCAGATCGGATGTTTAAGGCCGCGTGCTGGCGTCCCGCCGTCTTCGGGTGATGTATTCATACAGACGCATTCACGAACCCCCACGGGGTGGAGTGATAGACGGGGTACGGTTGCCAGCCGGTCGCTGTTTACCCCGCCTCAAGCAACTTCACGTTCATCATGGATGCTCTGCAGCCTTCGGAAAGATACCTGATTGTGCACTCTAAGCGTTCTGAGTACCTCATCTTACTTCGTACAGGGCGACACAGGCAGACCCAGCAACCACACAGGCAATGTTCCACAAGCCTCAAGTTCTAGCCCCGGGTTGCGGCGTCGCCCATAGTGGAGAGTCATGAACCGCGGTGATGGATGCGGTCCAATACAATACATACAGCATGTGCAGTTTTTGTGATTACCCACAAGCCAGTCCCGGCGACCAGTGCCGTCGTGGACGTTTGAAACACTGGCAGAACAATCGATGCTCGGCCCCTCTCCGACCAATTGCGCCCAATGGCAGGGAATATCCGTGCTGTAAGGCGATCTCAAAACCGCTCGCAGGCCATCCGATGCTCCCCATAGGCTGACCGAACAGAGGGACCACGCCAATGCAAGATAAGTATCGGACGGCCTGTGATTGGGTAGCCGCATCTGTGTCTGTGATGATTCTTTTACACCACCCTTTCCCGCCCTCATACTTCATACAGAGGCTGCCGAAAGCAGCACTTCGGGAGGCGACATGCAGCGTGTCAGTAATACTTTCTGGCCTCGATCATTGGGCCATTCTTCGGGACACCCGCCGCCGTTGGTCGGCCTTACTGTTGGTTGACAGCCCTTCTGAGCCAAGTGGTGTTGAATGACGTCGAGTGATGCACATGCTTTTTAGAACCTGCCAGGGTTCAGAATAATAAGAAAGCTGAGTGAATATGGGTTTCAAAATGGATTCGTGGCCCGCGTGCCCAAACCCGGTATATCATTCAAACTCATTTCGACAACGAATTTACCTTCGGGTTTATTATCCTCGTTCCACATATTCCTCTCACCCGTATTCTTTTTAAAGTGTAGGCGAGCGCAACCTGGAAGTGCATGTTCCTGGCGATACCGGCGGACGGGGTCCGAAGGGACTTGCTCCAAGATCGGCGCATGAGCAGGCGACATCGGCTGCTGGTCTTTGAAAACGACTTGCTCTGATTGGCTCAGATTTGAGGAAAGTTGGCGCAACTTTTTTTGATCCCAGCAGCTGGACAGGGATCCATGGGAATCGTGCTGTGGATGCGTGCTGCATGCAAAGCTTGTGGATCTTGGACTAGCCTGAATCGAACATGCAAGATGCAACCCTAGTGTGGGGTGCGTTCATGAAGCCACCGTCGACTCTGTTTTCATCGTGAATTTCTTTTACACACAAAATTTTTACAGAAGTCCCTTACAGGCTCTCAGCATGCACATATACCTCTAGAGCAATAGAAAGCAGATACCGTGAGGGAAATAGCTACACGTGTATGTAGAATATTTTCCTCGAGTAACGTTACCACCCATACAACCGTTGCTGAAGACCGAAAGATGCTGCTACATGTAGAATAGGCAAAGTTGACTCCTTTTGCATGTTCCAAGCGTCTAGGCTCATCTGTAAACAGGGACTCTAAAGTGCGCCCTGCACAGGAAAGGTCTAGGTGTCCAACTTCATATTCCAATAGGCCCTCGTGAGCTTGAGCTCATACCTAGCAAGGCTTCCGGATCACATCAAGTCGATCAAAGGCAGTAAGTAATAAAAGGGCCAGCAACTCGTTTGCAGGACAATTTTCCCATGATACTTTAGCTACAGGTAGTTCCTCTGACTTTGTTTGAAGGAGACCGAAGCCATAGACATAACCTAATTCAGCGAACTCTCTGTGTCCACCAAAGTCGACTTCCCATCGACTCAAACTTAACACCGCTCACCTCTCACCAGAAACAACGGATGTTTTGCCGCAGCGCAAATTGAAGCGACAGGTAGGGGTTCCATTCTAATAAGTGTATTGTCACAATGGGTTGGCTCGTCTGTTAGATCCTGCCATCCCCAGATGCGTTGTGCCAGAGGTAGTCGCATGGTCCCGGCTGGAGCGGGAGAGGCTGCTGTATGTACATACGTGTACTCGACCGGCGCACTGAATGAATAGCAGACCCACTAATATCAGGCTGGCCGGGGTGGTGAGCCGAGCAGCGGCGCTCCCCTCCTCCCCCCACCAATATTGGATGCGAACTCGCCCTCAACGCCGACTGGCACATGTCATGCCTCAGCGTTTGCTGCTATTCCACTTTCTGCCCCTGCATCCATTTTCATTGCCTTGGCTAGTCCTGCTCCGCTTCGGTCGCCCAGTCCCCGTCCCAATTGACAAGCAAAGACATCCCAGATCCAGTGCGCAAGCCCTTTTTTGGGGGAGTCTGTGGCTGGTTTACGTTACCCGCTGGCTCCCGTCTTTTGCACCGGGCGGCGACCGAGCCCATCATAAAAAGCAGTCTCGCCACCCTTCCGGGCGCGATTCCCCCCTTCCCTCTCTTTTTCTTTCATGAATCCTTAACTCGCTATCCGGTCTCGTCTCGTCCGGCAGCCAGCCCAAGCAAAAGCGTGCACAAGCGACTTTGTTTTCAGTCCACTCAGTCTATCGGTAAGTCGCTCTTATTAACTAGCAATGCCTTTTCTGCCACTCCACACAACTGCTTTACCGCGGGAGACGAGATATGCAATCCGATGGGGCCCAATGGTCTGGTCTGCTGGGAATTCGACATCCTCCTTCTACTCAATGGTCGCACACATGTAGCCCCTCCTCGACGAGAGACCGGCCGCCCAGCAATCAAAGACGCCACAGATCATCCAAACATGCCACTTCGCAAGCAAAAAACTGGCCCCAGGGCCATCAACCAAGCATATGCGAGGTAAACCCGGCAGTTGCACGACTACGGCGAACTGTGCATCGTACCGTCCCCGAGCATGGAAGACGATTTGGACCATCTTTCCCCCTTTGGCCCGAAGCGGATAAGACATTATGGATTGGCATGTGGGATGCTGGTGGGATGGTGGGGGGCCGACCGCCCCCGCTCTCTGCGTCCCGGTTTCGGCCTCTTTGGGGAGCGCATTGCACCTCTCCCAGCGCCGACTAGCTGGCTCGAATCATCGAGAACAACATCAATGCTGTATCGGCCGAGGGACTTGTTACGTTCTTCCCGATCCCGCCCCGGGCAACATGTTCCGCACTCTATCAGATAGCCGGACGGCCATCGTATGGAGGACGCACGATAAGGCGCCGCAACCTGTCGTCATCCCGCGTGGCACGGGTCCGGCATTGCTTGGCTCCCACTCCATTGCATCACCAGCTTGGGATGGCCCACAAGGGTCTTTGCAGGTCTCACTGGGGTGCGGGCACCGTATCATGCAGCTGCGCAGCTCTGGAAACTGCGGAGGCGCTAGCCACAAGCACTGCGACTCACATGGTCACGATCAACCAATGCTTGCGCCAATTCCAGACTTTGGCGCTTGGAAGCCTGCCAGCAAACCAATTGGTGCGAATTCAACGCTATCTGTCCTTGCTGCCTGTTGCCACAGACGGCGCGATTCCATGGTGCTCGGCGTAAACCTCGTTACTCGCCGCGTTCTGAACTCTGGCCAGCCCGCTACCCGAGGATATGCAGATTGTCCAGCCATAACATCCCTCTCATCTCACGCCTGCCTGCCGTTCTATTGCATTATTTTCACGTATCCGCAATCTCTTAGCTAACCTTCCTCGCTCCTCATCAGATAGTCTCACCGTTTCAGAATTTCGCAGCATCACTTCGGTATCCCGCCTGCTTGTGCCAGATTCGGGCCGCGGCAGCCAAGGCACACGAGCCCTAGTGGAACCCCCGCGCAGGCGTCTCAAAAGCAACGCTTGCCTAGCATGGGTGTGGTCAACGTGGCCCAGGATTTTGATGATCGACAACTACATCTCGAAGCCGAGTCGGAGCCATACCATCCCTATGAGTATCAAACCGAGAACAACACCTCGTGGGCAGGCGCCCTTCCGGTGAAGCAGTACGTATTCCATCCGCGTGACCCAGGTGCTCCAGCGGCTAACTCGCTCACCCAGGGGTCTGTATGACCCTTCCCTCGAGAAAGATGCCTGTGGTGTAGGCTTTGCTTGGTAAGGCTCGACTGTTGATCCAGCGGCCTAGTCTGTCATGCTAACAGCAAAAAGCCATATCAAGGGCAAGCCTAGCCACAAAATCGTCAGCGATGGTAGGTTCCCCATTCCTTCGGCAGGTTTCACGGGAGACTGACTCTTGAAGCCCGCAACCTTCTGTGCAACATGACCCACCGGGGTGCCGTGGGTTCCGATGCACGGGATGGCGACGGTGCCGGTGTCATGACGTCCATTCCCCACAAGTTCTTTGTGAAAAACTTTGAGCGCGAAGTAGGAATTAAGCTTCCTCCTCCGGGCCAGTATGCTGTGGGGAACGTGTTTTTCAAGCCCGATCAGGAGACGTTGCACGAGTCCAAGCGGCAGTTGGAAGACATTGCCGAGTCGTTGGGCTTGAGGGTCCTGGGATGGCGAGAGCCTCTTGTGGATTCTAGTCTCCTTGGTCCTGCTGCAGCATCTCGGGAGCCCATCATTCTACAGCCCTTCGTTGTGCTCGAGTCTGCCTATGGCTCTGGGAACGCGCCCGAGGTGACGGACCCAGAAAAGTTTGATGAGAAACTGTTTGAGAGGCAACTCTATGTCCTCCGGAAGCGGGCCACTCATACAATCGGGCTCCAGAACTGGTTCTACATCTGCTCCCTTTCCAACAAGAATATTGTCTACAAAGGGCAGTTGGCGCCAGTTCAGGTTTACCAATACTATTATGATTTGGTGGATGCCTCCTATGAGGCCCACTTCGCCCTCGTGCACTCTCGCTTCTCCACTAACACGTTTCCCTCATGGGATCGTGCCCAGCCTCTGCGGTGGGCGGCTCACAATGGTAGGCAGTAGACCACATCCAGCAGGCGGCAGCGAGGTGCTAACGGCTGCCTCCTTAGGTGAAATCAACACTCTCCGCGGTAACAAGAACTGGATGCGCGCCCGCGAGGGTGTTATGCAGTCCGACATTTTCGGCGAAGAGCTGGAGATGCTGTACCCCATCGTCGAAGATGGCGGGTCGGATTCGGCTGCCTTCGACAACGTCCTTGAGTTGCTCACCATAAACGGTGTGCTCTCCCTCCCCGAAGCCGTGATGCTCATGGTTCCCGAGGCCTGGCAAGGGAACACATTGATGGATCCCAAAAAGGCCGCCTTTTACGAGTGGGCCGCGTGCCAGATGGAGCCCTGGGACGGCCCCGCCCTGTTCACGTTCGCCGACGGCCGGTTCTGCGGTGCCAACCTTGACCGGAATGGGCTTAGGCCATGCCGTTTTTATGTGATGGATGACGACCGGATCATCTGCGCCTCGGAAGTCGGCACCATCCCCGTTGAACCTGAGAGGATTGTCCAAAAGGGCCGCCTGCAGCCCGGCCGCATGCTTCTCGTTGACACCCAAGCTGGCCGTATCATTGATGACAGCGAGCTGAAGGCTGCCGTGTCGAGCCGTCACGACTTCAGAGCTTGGCTCGATGAGAACTTGATCTCGATGCCAAATGTGCTGGAGAAGATCTCCGAGGACAAGAACATTGCTTTGGCCGCGAAGCCGGATGAATCAAAACTGCAGGAAGACCCGTTGCTTCATGCGTTTGGCTACACCTTTGAGCAAGTCAGCTTGCTGCTCGCGCCCATGGCCTCGGACGAGAAGGAAGCGCTCGGCTCCATGGGCAACGATGCTCCTCTTGCCTGCTTGTCGCAAGCTCCCAAGCTTCTCTACGAGTACTTCCGCCAGTTGTTCGCCCAGGTTACCAATCCGCCCATCGATCCCATCCGAGAGTCGATCGTCATGTCCCTCGAGTGCTACGTCGGTCCCCAAGGCAACCTCCTGGAGATGGATGCGAGCCAATGCGGAAGGCTGCTTTTGCCCAGCCCCATCCTCTCCATCGAAGAGTTCAACGCCATGAAGAACATGTCGACCATCTACCCCGAGTGGACCGTCAAGACCATCGACATCACCTTCCCGAAGAAGGAAGGTGTTCAAGGCTACATCAAGCACCTGGACTACATCTGCAATGAGGCCACTGCTGCCATTGAGGCTCGTGATCGTATCATCATCCTTTCTGACCGCAACACTTCCAGTGACCGAGTCGCCGTCTCGACTTTGCTTGCCGCCGGCATGGTTCACCATCACCTTGTCTCCAACAAGTGGCGTGCCATGGCTGCGCTAGTCGTCGAGACCGCTGAGGCGCGTGAAGTGCACCACATGTGCGTTTTGCTCGGCTATGGCGTGGATGCCATCAACCCGTACCTCGCCATGGAATGCATCTTGAAGCTCAATAGGGAGAAGCTCATCAAGAAGAAACTTACCGACGAGGCTCTCATCAACAACTACAAGCATTCCTGCGACGGTGGAATTCTCAAGGTCATGAGCAAGATGGGTATCTCTACCCTTGCCAGCTACAAAGGTGCTCAGATCTTCGAGGCGCTCGGCGTCGACGACAGCGTCGTTGACCGCTGTTTCCGCGGGACCGCCTCCCGTATCAAGGGTGTCACTTTCGAACTCATTGCCGAAGATGCATTCCGTTTCCATGAGCGCGGCTTCCCCTCGCGGTACACGGTCGGTGTCACTGGCCTCCCCGAGTCCGGCGAGTACCATTGGCGTGATGGCGGCGAGGCACACGTCAACGATCCCACGTCCATCGCCAACATCCAAGACGCAGTCCGCACAAAGAACGACAAATCGTACGAGGCCTATTCTTTGTCCGAGTATGAGCAGATCAAGTCTTGCACCCTCCGCGGTATGCTCGACTTCAAGTTCGAGGATTGCAACCCCATTCCCATCGACCAGGTGGAGCCATGGACCGAGATTGTGCGGCGATTCTGCACTGGCGCCATGTCCTATGGATCGATCTCGATGGAATCGCACTCCACTCTGGCCGTCGCCATGAACAGGCTTGGCGGCAAGTCCAACACCGGTGAGGGAGGTGAGGATCCCGAGCGTTCGCAGCGCCTGCCTAACGGAGACACAATGCGCTCTGCCATCAAGCAGGTTGCCTCCGGCCGCTTCGGTGTCACTTCCGCCTATCTTGCCGATTCCGATGAGCTCCAGATCAAGATGGCGCAGGGCGCCAAGCCCGGCGAAGGTGGCGAGCTCCCTGGACACAAGGTCTCCAAGTCCATTGCGCGCACCCGCCATTCCACCCCTGGTGTTGGTTTGATTTCGCCTCCTCCGCACCACGACATCTATTCCATCGAGGATTTGAAGCAGCTCATCTACGACCTCAAGTGCTCCAGCCCCCGCTCTCGCGTCTCGGTCAAGCTAGTGTCTGAGACCGGTGTCGGCGTCGTCGCTGCTGGCGTGGCCAAGGCGAAGGCTGATCACATTCTGATTTCGGGCCACGATGGTGGCACCGGCGCTTCCCGGTGGACGGGTATCAAATACGCCGGTCTCCCCTGGGAACTTGGCCTGGCTGAAACCCATCAGACACTAGTTCTGAACGACCTCCGTGGCCGCGTGGTGGTCCAGACTGACGGCCAACTCCGTACTGGACGTGATGTTGCTATCGCCTGCCTGCTCGGCGCCGAGGAATGGGGCTTTGCTACAGCTCCTCTGATTGCTATGGGCTGTATCATGATGCGGAAGTGTCACTTGAACACCTGCCCCGTTGGCATTGCCACTCAGGATCCTGAGCTTCGCAAGAAATTCACCGGAACGCCCGAGCATGTCATCAATTTCTTCTATTATGTCGCCAACGAGCTCCGTGCCATTATGGCCAAGCTTGGCTTCCGCACGGTCAATGAGATGATCGGTCACGCCGAAGTGCTCAAGGTCCGGGACGATCTGAGGACCAACAAGACCGCCAACATCGACCTCTCCCTTATCCTCACCCCGGCCCACAAGCTTCGGCCGGGTGTTGCCACCTTCAACGTCCGCAAGCAGGACCACCGTCTCTATGTCCGCCTCGATAACAAGCTGATCACCGAGGCCGAGTTGACGCTAGACAAGGGCCTGCCATCACGGATCGAATGTGACATTGTCAACACCGATCGTGCCATGGGTACTTCGCTCTCCTACCAGATCTCCAAGCGCTATGGTGAAGCTGGGCTGCCCATGGACACTGTCCATGTTAACATCAAGGGGTCTGCTGGCCAGTCATTCGGCGCCTTCCTCGCCCCTGGTATTACGCTGGAGCTTGAAGGTGACGCCAACGATTACGTGGGCAAGGGTCTGTCCGGTGGTCGCCTCATCATCTACCCGCCTCGGTCGGCCGTCTTCAAGGCTGAGGAGAATATCCTGATTGGCAATGTGTGCCTGTACGGAGCCACAAGCGGCACATGCTTCTTCCGTGGTGTCGCCGCAGAACGATTCGCTGTCCGTAACTCGGGTGCCACGGCAGTTGTTGAGGGTGTCGGTGATCACGGTTGCGAGTACATGACCGGCGGCCGCGTTGTTATCCTTGGCAGCACGGGCCGTAATTTCGCGGCAGGCATGTCCGGTGGCATCGCGTACGTCCTTGACATTCAGCAAGACTTCTTGTCCAAGCTCAACATGGAGATGGTTGAGGCTTCCGGCCTGGAAGATCCCGAGGAAATCGCCTTTGTCCGCGGCCTGATTGAGGACCACCACCATTACACTGGCTCAGAGCTCGCCGCCCGCATCTTGGTGGACTTCAACCGCGCCCTTCCCCGGTTTGTCAAGGTGCTGCCTGTTGACTACAAGCGCGTCCTTCAGGAGGAGGCTGCTAAGGCGGCCGAGGCCAAGCGGGCTGAGTACAATCTCCCCGTCATCTCGGGCGTGCCCAAGGAGGAGAAGAAGGAGAAGAGCGCCAAGCTTCTGGACATTGAAGAGAGCATCAACGACAATGCTGCTGACAAGAAGAAGGCTCTTGTCTTAGACAAGACCAGAGGCTTCATGAAGTACCAGCGGCGGTCCGAGAAGTATCGCAGTGCCAAGACGCGGACCAAGGACTGGGCCGAACTTTCTCAGAGACTCGACGAGGACGAGCTCAAGTACCAGTCTGCTCGCTGCATGGACTGTGGTGTGCCCTTCTGCCAGTCCGACACGGGCTGCCCCATCTCCAACATCATCCCCAAGTGGAACGAATTGGTCTTTGCCAATCAGTGGCGTGACGCGCTGAACCGTTTGCTCATGACCAACAACTTCCCCGAGTTTACTGGCCGCGTCTGCCCGGCTCCTTGCGAAGGCGCATGCGTGCTTGGTATCAACGAGGACCCGGTCGGCATCAAGTCGATCGAGTGCGCCATCATTGACCGTGGATTCGAGATGGGCTGGATGGTGCCAAACCCGCCCAAGGTCCGCACGGGCAAGAAGGTTGCCATCATCGGATCCGGCCCCGCCGGTCTCGCCGCTGCGGATCAGTTGAACAGGGCCGGCCACACCGTCACCGTGTACGAGCGGGCCGACCGCCTCGGCGGGCTGCTCATGTATGGTATCCCCAACATGAAGCTTGACAAGCGCATCGTCAAGAGACGCACGGACTTCATGGCCGCCGAGGGAGTCAACTTCAAGACGGGCGTCACGATTGGAGAGGACATCAAGCTCATGGACCTCAAGGCGCAGAACGATGCCGTCATCATCGCGACGGGCGCGACGGTCGCTCGCGACCTTCCCGTCAAGGGACGGAACCTCGAGGGAATCCACTTTGCCATGGAGTTCTTGCACAAGAACACCAAGTCGCTGCTGGACTCGGAGCTCACTGACGGCGCCTACATCTCAGCCAAGGACAAGCACGTCGTTGTCATTGGCGGTGGCGACACCGGAAACGACTGCATTGGCACGTCAGTCCGCCACGGTGCCAAGTCGGTCATCAACTTTGAGCTGCTGCCGCAGCCGCCGCCGGAGCGGGCGCGCGACAACCCGTGGCCGCAGTGGCCGCGCATCTACCGCGTCGACTACGGGCACACCGAGGTGCGCCAGCACATGGGCAAGGACCCCCGTGAGTTCTGCATCATGTCGGAAGAGTTTGTCGACGACGGCAACGGAAGGGTCAAGGGCATCAACACGGTGCGCGTCGAGTGGACCAAGTCGCCGAGCGGCGGCTGGGACATGAAGAAGGTGGAGGGATCGCAGCAGTTCTTCCCTGCGGACCTTGTGCTCCTGTCGATGGGCTTCCTCGGACCCGAGGCGCGTGTTCTCGGCGACGAGATCGAGAAGGATGCGCGCAAGAACGTCAAGACGCCGCCGGGCAAGTACTGCACCAACGTCGAGGGCATCTTTGCTGCCGGCGATTGCCGCCGCGGCCAGTCACTCATTGTCTGGTAAGTTCATCTGCAACTTCTGTGTTTGTATTGAAGATGCTGACACATTCCGTTTCAGGGGTATCAACGAGGGTCGCCAGGCTGCGCGCGAGGTTGACCTGTACCTCGAACATTGCACCAACTTGCCGGTCACGGGCGGTATTGTCAAGCACACGGCCAAGGAGATTCTCCCCAAGGCCCAGGCGGTGGCAGCATAAGTGTTCCCACCCCGCCACAAAAGGATGGATGGACGACATTTCCATGAACGATGTGCTCTTTCTTTGCCTGCATCCGGGTTTCTGAAGGGTCAGGGCGGGATTTCGTAGGACTTGTTGTTTTCCTTTGATATTGATACCATCATTTTCACGCATAAGCATTAGCAATTTATGGGGTGCACAGAGGTTTGTGGATCGCGTTGGTTGTGGGCTGTTTTGAGGGGCGGTGGTTTTTGGGTGACTTTCTGGATGCGAAGGTCTCGATGCATTGGTGATGATATGGCACTTTAACGGGGCCTAGGTTTGGGTGTCTGTCTGCATTTCGCCCCTGCATTTCGACGTTAACGTTAGCATTGATCTTGCATGTATATCAAGAAGATCTTCAAAAAGATCTTATGCTCCATATAAAGTACAAAACTACTGCACCATTGACTTGTCCTTCGTTACGTACTCGGACGCCAAATGTCAAGCGACGAGTACAGAGCATAGCGAACAGGCTCATCAGTTGGAACTGTGGATTCACTGGATTGTTGTTGTCGGCCAGGACTCCGAGTGCACGTGGAACATCAATTGGTCAATGGCAAACATCACAGGAGTCGAACAGGAGGAGCACTGGAGCAGTGGCTTTAGCTTGGATGTTAGCGCGGTACTATTGGTGGCATGTCACATGCGCAGCAATTGCCCGGTCAATTGGCGAAAATCTATCAGGATATCCTTGAAGCTACCAAGTTGACAGTAAGGGGAATAGAGGTTTGTCACTGCCTCTGCAAGTTCAAACTACGCTTCGGCATTGTGAATTGCTTAGAAGCTAGCTAACGAGGGAAGGAGCGATGGGCGAGGCTCGAGTAGAGGCCTAACGTAAATACCGGTACCGGGCCTCCCATGTGTCTAGTGTGGGGGGACAGCTTAGTGGGTCATGACGACGGAGCTGGGATTCGCAGCTTTTCTTGATTTCCTGCCTCTCGAGTCTTGACTCTCTTCAACAATGATTCAGTTTCAACAAGTCCTGGCATAATTTCAACAAGCGGGTGGTTTTTGGCATCTTTACTCAATGCTGGACCACGACACAATTGTGCCCCATTTAATACTCCAGCGATAAGGTACCCCGTACTACACCACCGGCAACAATGCGCTTCGGCAAGACACTGCGGCAGTCGGTCTACGCGCCGTGGAAGGACAAGTACATCGAGTATGCCAAGCTCAAGACCTTACTGCGTGAAGACCGGCACGAGGATGACGACGAGCCCTGGACCGACGACGACGAGAAGCGCTTCTGCGATGAAATCTTCAACACGCAGCTCGAAAAGGTGGCCCAGTTCCAGGCCGAGAAGGTCGACGAGCTGCGACGCCGAGTCGACGGCGCCTTTGAGAAGCTCAAGGAACTGCCCACGGCTGAGGATGGTGCGCAAAAAAAGACCGATGCAGATACCCAGCGGCTCAAGGACCTCGAGGCCGAGCTCGACACCATCACCAACGAGGTCAAGGAGCTGCAAAAGTACAGCAACCTCAACTACACGGGCTTTCTGAAGATTGTCAAGAAGCACGACCGAAAACGCGGTGACCGCTACAAGATCCGACCGCTCATGCAGGTCAGCCTGTCGAAGCGGCCTTTCAACTCGGAACAGGCCTACTCGCCGCTGCTCAACAAGCTGTCGCTCATGTACTTTGCCATCCGCCAGCAGCTTGAGGAGCCTGGTGCTGCCGACGCCTTCCCCGTCGACCCCGACAGCCAGCCCGAGACACACAAAGGCGAGCGGTACACGGCCCACAAGTTCTGGGTGCATCCAGACAACCTGCTCGAGGTCAAGACGTACATTCTCCGCCGCCTGCCCGCGCTGGTCTATAGCGAACTGTCGGCGAAGGAAGTGGACGGACAGCAGGACCCGACCATCACCTCGCTTTACTTTGACAACGCCAAGTTTGAGCTCTACTCGAAAAAGGTTGAGCGAGAGGTGGAGGCCTCGTCGCTGCGCCTTCGCTGGTACGGCCAGCTGAGCGAGCGGCCCGATATTTTCCTAGAGCAAAAGATCGTGCACGACAACGGCAGCAGCGAGGAGCGCAAATTTGTCATCAAGGAGAAATATATCAAGCCCTTCCTTGATGGCGAATACAAGATGGAGAAGTCGGTGCAAAAGATGGAACGGAAAGGGCAGAAGGCCGAGGACGTCGACGAGTTTCGGTCGACAGCGAGCGCTATCCAGGAGTTTGTTCGCTCGCGCAAGCTCGAGCCTCTTGTGCGAGCCAACTACGTGCGGACGGCCTTCCAGAAGCCCGGCGATGACCGCGTCCGCATCTCAATCGACACGGACATTGCCTTCATCCGCGAGGACACGCTGGACCGTGACCGCCCGTGCCGCGACCCCAAGGACTGGCACCGCACCGACATTGACAATGCTAACATGACGTACCCCTTTAGCAACATCAACCAGAGCGAGGTGTCTCGCTTCCCCTACGCCGTCCTTGAGATCAAGCTCAAAGAGGACAGCAGCAACCCCAAGAAGCGGCCGTCGTGGATCCAGGACCTGATGGGCTCCCATCTGGTGCACCCGTGCCCGCGCTTCTCCAAGTTTGTCCACGGCACCGCCTCGCTCTTTGAGGACTACGTCAACCGCCTCCCTTTCTGGCTCAGCGACCTGGACATTGACATCCGCAAGGATCCGCAGGTGGCCTTTGAGGAGGAGGAGGAGCGGCGCGCCCGGCGGGCCGAGAACGAACAGGTGGTGGGCAGCTTTTTGGGGACCAAACTAGGGTCATACAAGCCCTCGCGCAGCTCACCCGTGGCCAAGTCTTACCTGGCCGAGCGTCTCGCTGCCGATACCGACACCAGCACCCATACCCCGGTCTCCGCTACCGTTCCGCGGGGCAGCGTCGCCGCCGGCGCCGGGGACGAATCGGGCGAGCCAAGCGCCACTACTCCACAACAACAACAGCAGCAGCAACAACAGCAACAACAACAGGAACATCTTCTCCGGACAAGTGCCCAGCATCAAAGCATGAACTACGGCACCCTTTCCTCCATCTTCCCGGGCTTCTCCCTCTCCAAGTACGGCCTCTCCCGACGCCGCCGCCAACAACGAGAGTCAGGCGCCGCGTCCCTCCCTCCGGGCGTTGAAGAGCCTGAGGAGTGGCTCAAGAACGCCGGCCCGCTGCAGATTGAGCCCAAAGTCTGGCTGGCCAACGAGCGCACATTTCTCAAGTGGCAGCACATATGTGTCTTGCTCGGAGGGCTGGCCGTCTCGCTCTACTCGGCCGGCAGCGTCGTCGTCGTCGACGGCGGGAGTGGGAAGGGCAAGGGGCATGCTGGTAAAGGCGGTAGCAATGTGGTTGCCCAGGCCATGGGCATCGTCTTTATCGCCATTGCGGCCTTTGCCGGTGTCTGGAGCTGGTGGCTGCACAAGAAGAGGCGGGAGATGATTGTTGCGAGGAGTGGGAGGGATTTTGATTTCCTCCTTGGTCCGCTGGTGGTGGCGGGTGCGCTGATGGTGGCGTTGGTGGTTAACTTTGTTTTTGCGGTGAGTTTTCTTTTGCTTCTCTCTTTTCCCGTTGTCTCGCCTACCCTTTGATGCTGACTTTTTGATCTGAGCAGTACCGAAAAGCGTTTGCTGACCACGGGGCCGGCGGGATGGAGGGGATGACGATTGGAGTGAAGAATGGGAGCGGCGGGCTTGAGATGGGCGAGTTGCGGTGATAGGGCTGACTGGTGGGAGAGTGCTGTTCGCAGTCGAGGGCCATGCCGGTCCGTCTGACTCGTGTCCAGGTGGCTATCCGGACTGGTGACTTGATTGACCGTGCCACGATATGTTTGGTGTAAAGTTGTGTGTGACACTAGGTTGCTGTCTGCATTCTTTGGCGCCTCGTTGGGAAACATAACGGGATGCGGTTCAACCCTTGACGGTGATAAGTATCTGCCGTGTGGGCATTGTTGGGAGGAGGGGGACAGGCGGAATAGCATTGCTGCTGGTAGATTGCTTGGACAGACTTTGGCGGGCATGAGTTTGAATACCAAGACGTACATACCTAATCCCGCCATGTCCTGCTGTCTTCCACGTTGGTCCGGGGAGTACTGTCTACCTCAAGTTTGGGGGGTATATTGCGAGTAGTGGACGTCTGACATTATCTGGGACCGGCCGGCATCTATCAGGTCGTTGTTATATGGAAACATTATGCGAGGTTCCCTTCCCCCCGAGGATGACGTCTGGAATGTTGCGATTGGCAGCATAATGCAAGGAGAGACGGGCACAGCTACGAGGGATGGAACTGCGGTCCCTTCATTCTGCATCTTTTACTGTCGGTTTAGCATTCCTAACACCCTTCAGTCCTTTCTTGACTTTCGACTTGTCTTTGCTCTCTTCCAGTCTGGATGTACCTCTTCTTTTGTTGTGTATATGGCATCGCAGAGTTGTCAAGCATTAACACTGAGAACGATTCATACCATACCTAGGTAGGTACTTTGTGTTAACCTCGGCCTTTCGGTATCCGCTCTGCCCTGTGACGGAGAAGTCCGCAAGCTCATGTGCCATATGCCATGACTGGATCAATTTCCCAGTCCCGTTAAGGGGGGAAGAAAAGGGGAAGATAGGAGGTAAGTGGAAAGAGGGGGCAGGGAAGAGGGTGACATTCTGGAGGACGGCCAGCACCCTCTTTCCTTTTTCCTCTTTTCTCTTGGCTCTTCGCCTCCTCCGCGTCTCTTGACTTTTTGAGGATTGTCACGCAGAGGTTCAGGGCGAGCACAGGCACCTCATACGATAAAAGCCTAGAACGAATCCCCAAGACCCGACCACCCGGTGTGGTTTACACGACAGCATGGGCGACGTTGTCAGGGGTGTACCTGACGCCACACATTGTTTTAATATCATATCATTTCTGTTTGGCCGCCCTCTTTGGTATCGGGCACCGTTTTTTTGTGTTTTGGTAGCACAGCATGTTAGGCCTTGATGTTTTGGCTGTGGGGGAGGAAGTCCTCGTCACGCGCGAACATAGGCAGCCACTGCTCATCAGGCAAGACTCGGATAGGGGCTAGGACTGTTATTGTTGTCTCTTGTGAGATGTTGTAGACGTGGTACCAGGTTTCGGTCCGGATGGACTCAAGATCAGTCACTCGGGCGCAACGTCCGCAAGTGTGTAACCGTGACTGGTTCGCCTGGGCCGAAGCCGTGGCTTTCACTTTGTGATACCGTGCTTCAGTGTGGAACGATTGTTTACGAGTGTCACAGCGGTCAGTACTGCCGATGGGAGGGAGAGGCAATGCCCGAGGTGTCGAGGGAATCTTGTAGACATTCTACTATGTAAATGCTAAGTCCATCTAGTTTGAGAAGGGTCCATTCTTCCATTCTTCGGACCATGAATGAGACACGGCTATATGCCGAGCGAGACAAACGTCAGGTGTCCCAGGAGGCTAAAGGCGGTTTCGGCAGGATGATGATGCCAGACGAGGAGAATGAGGTCGGTAAAACGAACTTGATGTCAGATCACAAGTAGGGAGACACCGAGACAGCAATCTGCCGTGTCTCAAAGGTAGCGAGTGTTGTCAAAGAGCGAAACTTCAAGTTTCCCACCACCAAAAAGTAGAGATGGCAACTAAACCTAGCAGCAGTAAACGAAGGCGGGAGTCAAGAATCAAGACATTTATTCCTACACTGTGGCAAGCACATCTACATCGGGGAAACAAGAATTTATCCGCCACAACATACCCGCGGACAACACGGCAAAGCAAGCAAGGAAAGATGGAAGGCTAGATCCCGAATGGCCGGCAACAACCCAAAAGAATGCCTCACGGGACGGGACCCTGCATCGCGATACCGATGCAACTAGGCATCCTAACGTTGCTAGCGGAATTTGAAGGCTGTCATCGCGGGGGCGGCACATTCACCGACTGGCTTGACAGATGATGATTCCCCTTACACATACCAGGGAAAACAGACAGTCAGATGCGGCACGTTTTTGCCTCAGAACAGTATATACATAGATACTTGTGAGGAAAAATACGATCCATAGTCATGGCTTGTCGATACGAAGTTGGGTGTGGACGATCGGGGCTCATCGTGTCGCAATGATGTGGCTCATCTTGGATGTGAGCACTGCGGTATGTATGTACATACATACATGCACACAGCGTGACCTTTGGATGTATGAAAGATACGTGCAGATGTCGAGGGCTGTACGGAGTATGCAGACGCCTATACCCGGGCTCTGATATCATCTACATACCCCCAGAGCTGTAAACAAGGAAAAAGGAGGCAGGGCTGTCTGCCGCCGGAGATGCAGATGCAGCCTGCCAGCTTGTCTGCTCGTTAGGTGGCATTTTCCGTCGCAGCAGTCAAACTCGACAAAGCTGCGCTCCCGTAGTTTAGCTCTCCTCGAAGGCTCGAACTGGTTGCGGTGGCTGCAAGCCGCATCAGTGCATGCAGCTGAAGCTGTTGGCCGTGTACCGTACTGTTTGTGAAGCAGATTGATTGCATTTGGCGCTCGGACGCCTCGTGTTTCTTGATGCTATTAGAGTTGATATTCACTTTCCCAAGTCAGCGGAGGTCGTTGCGGGAGTGAGTTGGCAGAGCGTAGGTATTGGCAACCGCTCTTAGGTAAAGACCGGGCCGTGGCGAGATGACATTCCCAGCTTGTCGGATTTCCCAGGATGACCTAGTACCAATCCTCAATCCAATCGGGCCAAAAGACGGACGGTGCCATTCCCCTGGGCCGGAAAGATCAAGATGAAAGATGCGTCCGGACGAGGCTTGGTTCTGTTGGGTGGCAAAGCAGACACGGCTATATCGTCCCAGTCCACGGCACCGGGCGCAGGAGCGGTGACTTGCGGTCCGCCAGTCACCCAAATTTGGTGGAATGTGTCGGGTCTGCAGGTTTGCGTACTCAAGAGGAGCGTCCTGCACAGTGTCTAATAACACTAGAACTGATGAGTGACGCACCCATTTAGTACTGATTACGAACTAGTAGTGTAGGACAGATGACAGCGGAAACTGTTCATCGGTCTTGACTGTGCGTTTTAGTTCCGTCATTTTGGGCTCACCGTCCGAAGAGAGCCCCAGCCTTCCAGTTAGTCTAGTGCACTCCGTACTCTATGTAAAATGCAAAGACGTCAAGTCGTTGCTTTGGCTTGTAGGCTAGAATGAACGTCATCCAATGCCTCTGGTGTTTGCAGTTCCTGGTAACTACATCTGAGAGTCAGGGCAAGGCGCCTTTGAGTCAATGGTGTTGTAGTCTCGATAGCCGCTCGGCTGGTCGATGTCGGCATTTATCGGACGTCTGTGAAGAAGCGCGGCCTGTTACGAGATGTCTAAGGTATTGTACAAACGATTATTGTCGTTCTGGAGGTCAATGCAAGCGAATCTGATACTCATCAGTGTGATTGGCATGCTCGAATCTAGTAATATCTCGTACATACGGATACACCAGCACTTACCATTGACTGATGATCAACATTTTAAGTTCAAACTCCACAGTGCACCGCAACCGGCCACTCGGAGAGCGCACGGTCCAACCTGTCCTTTGCTGTGGGACACGCCGACACGGGAACGGTCCTCGAGCGCTCCAAGTCGGAAACAGAGTCTTGGTGAGGGAGGTGACTTTAACGTTAGGTGGGTGACATTGGTGGGCGCAGCAAGAATTCGAGTCCCAAAATTGGGCCGGCGCTGAGTGAAGCTGCCTTGGAATCAACAGACCTCCTAAAACCTTTGGAGTTCAGCCCTGACTGTATAGTGGTCAGGTCGCTTGCTTTTGTGACCGATGATAGGTTAGTGCTCATAGTTTGATACCCTGCCATCGGTACGGAGTACATAGTCCGAGGCTCGATGACTTTGAAACCACGGCTTTGCCTTCCATGTTTATCGGGGCCCCGTCCACGTGTAAAGTTCGGCGCGCCAGGCTGAAATGGCAGTTTGAATGTAAAAACTCTCTGTAAAATGCGGCCTTTCTTCGGCATCAGTCAAAACCGGGTGGGTGTTTGGACGACAAGCCAGCGCCAGCCGGACGGCAGAGAGACGACCCCTGAACTGCGAACTGCGGGCGACAGGCGTGCGAGATTTGTGGCTGGCCCAGCGGCTTGTCGGAGCGAACCCTCTGCAATGCCAGCGTCGCATCAGTGGAGTCCACGAGTCTCGCTTCTCAACGTCCATGGTCGCCGTTGGATTTTTGATTGATGAGAATCATGGCTTCTTTCGTCGTCATCTTTTCCTGTCTTTGTTGACTTTTTATTATCCGTTCCCTCAATAAGAGAAGTCGGCACCGAGATCTGGCTGCCTTGGCCCGTCGGGTAATGCTTCGGGAAGGTCACAAAGGACTCGACAGACCCGACCCTGTGAGTTCAATCCACGGTTCATAGACAGTTTGTGAACGGCCGCGAGACTGCGGCAGAACCTGAACCCTGGATCAGGAAAAGAGTGGGGTGGAATCCATCTGACCAACGGGATGCTGTCAACCAAGGACCCCGTGTGGCGGAGAAACGGCATTAGGCCCGGACGGGAATCGACCTGGCCACTGCGCTTCGAGCTCCCAGCAGTATACGAAGCACTGTCTGCTCCACCTTCCCGCTAAGCCGGGAAGCCACCTCCGCCACTCAACAGCCGACCCACCCACACCACGCGAGGTGTCAGACCAGACAGATGACACCAGCATCCCGGTTGCACAGTGTCCAAGCGCAATCAACCAAACTGTGCAGACCAGATTGACTGGAATCATCACGGTGACTGGTTTGGTTGACCTCCACCCGAGGTGCAACTCTGCCCATGCACAAGCTGGGACCTCGAGCCCACATTCATTTCCAACTCCCCTGCTTTCCTGCACCCCCCTTCTGGCTTCCGCGGGAACGCAACCAAAGGCGCTGATTGTTCTCTTCTTTCTCCCTTTTGCCCTTCACCACATTCCAACACGGCCCGAGACCATTTTTGCGGCCAGTTCGCAGACAGAGAATCAGCTGGTACAAATCAGCGTAGCGCTGATACAGCGACCCGAACAGCGGCAAGACAGTGGTAGCACCAGCCCACTGGCTGGGACGAACGCCGCAGAGCACGACCCCGTTCTGGTCTGACGCTGCCCAATAACAGCGCACCGGATCCGACCGTGCTCTTGCAAGCAATCCCGTCACTCTGGTTTCTGGGTCTCCCACTCGACCTCTGCTCCAGCCTCTCAAGAGTCTCAGCAAAAACCAACTCGGTCCCAGCAAATCCAAGCTCCTCCCTTCCCGCACAACTCGCCAACCCAAACACATCGGCGCCGCATCATCGGGTCGGCGACAGAGACAAACTCGGGACCGGCCGTCTGAATTGGACTCGGGTAATTCCATCATTTTTCTTGGTTTTTGGCCTTTGTGTGTTCTGCTCTGGGCGTCGGGATCGCCGATTTTTCATGAATTTTTTGTTTGTTTGATTCTTTTTGTTCTGGTGCAGGCGTGCCGCATCTCTTGAGTAAGTGGCCACGACGCATGTCCTATTTACATCTGCACGCTGTCATCCGCACCTTGGGCCTCGCACCAGCAAGCGCCAAAGCTGCGGCTTGAGTTGACTAGTTGTTGTTTTTGCCGACCGATGCGTCTCTATGCACGCCGACGCTGATCCGTTTGTCTAGCGCCTGCCGGACCCGTCACAAACATCCCATAACTTCAAATCCGTAGTTGCAGACCACCGTCTAGGAGAGGTTTACGATTCTGGTCGTGGGAATTGGGCAAAGATGGGTGCACCAGTTGTTGCCTCTGCCGGCCACATCATGCCGGCCCTTGATGCCGACCTCAACTCGAAACCGGCCATTGTTCACAGGGATACCAAGGGCGGCCGGAGGCTCTGGTATGTCCTGAAGGTTATCCAGCAACCTGAGCGCGCCAGAGCATGCGGATCGGGGCCCAAGTGTCAGTAGAGTTCTGTGCTTTCTACAGATTGGCCGTCGTGTCTAACCTCTTTGGCAGCATCGGCTGATCGCCGCCCCGTTGACCCTCCGCCCGTTGTGGAGCTGCGCATTTACGAGGGCCAAACGTTCGAACTGGCACAGGAAAAGGATATCACCTTCCTGTACAATGCCAACTTCTTCCTCTTCGCAACTTTAGAACATGCCCGCGTGATCGCGCACGCGCGCGGCGCCCCCGCGCCCACTAACACGCCTCCCGTACTCACCGGTATGCCCGTGTCTGGCATGGCGTATCTGGACCGCCCGCAGGAAGCCGGCTACTTCCTCTTCCCGGACCTCTCAGTAAGACACGAAGGCCGCTACCGTTTGACGTTCAATCTCTACGAAGAGACCAAGGAGGACAAGGACAAGGACTTGGAAGTTGAGGGCGACGGCAAGGCCATCGTTCCCGGTCTGAACACGGCCAATGGGGGCTCGTTTGATTTTCGGATGGAAGTGAAGTCGCAGGAGTTTATCGTATACAGCGCCAAGAAGTTCCCTGGTCTGGCCGAGAGCACGCAGCTCAGCCGAGTGGTTGCCGAGCAAGGGTGCCGTGTCCGGATTCGCCGCGACGTACGCATGAGGCGCCGGGATGGCAAAGGTACGGGAGATTACGACAACGCCGAGGACGAATATGCCCGAAGGAGAAGGACGGCCACACCGGATACTCGACCTGACTACAACCGCGCGCGATCCATGAGCGGTAGCGTGGAGCGCACACCGTACTCGGCCGACTCACAACGCCGGCCGTCCATTGCCGACTACCAGTCGCAGTATCCGCCCCAGAACCCGCCGCCAGGCGGACACTTGCAGTTCCTGGGCGGGAACTCGACTCCGCAGTATCCCGCGCAGGCTCCTTCAAGCTTCGCCCAGCCGCCCTCGGTTCCGGCGTCGCCGCTCTATCCCCCGAGCCAAGGGGCCGCTCCTTACCCGTCGCAGTCGTCATATCCCCCTCCGCCTCCGCCACCGCCATCGTATCAGAGGGAACGGACGCCGAGCAATCCTCCGCCTCCGCCACCGCCATCATATCAGAGGGAACGGACACCGAGCAATCCTCCGCCTCCTCGCAGGGATAGCCTGCAGCAGGATTACCGGCCTCCTTCCGGATCCGCAAGTGGACCTGTGACACTACCGCCTCTGAGCCACCTGTCATCGTATCCGCCCACGCCGAGCCAGACTCACATGCCGCCACCGAAGCCGCAGATGCCGCCTCGGCTGCAGATTGACGGGAACATGGCTAGCGCGAGCCGGCTCCCGTTGCCCAGCCCAACATCGCTGCTTAGGCCTAGCGGGTCCAGCGGACCGGTGCTCAATCCCCACTATCTCCCGCCGCCGGCTCAGTATGCGGGAACAAAGCGTGCGCATGACCAGACCTTCAGGCATGACGATGGGCAAGTGAGGTTCCAGGATGGTGCGCGGGACAAGGGCCTGTCTGAAGACGCACACCCGTCTAGCACCATGGTGTATAGGCGTGCCGACGGCACTCACAAGTCTGTTCCCGATTCCTGGTTCGGTCAACCCTGAAGAATCAAACCAACAGCTAGGCGGCCGCAGAGGGTTAATCGCCTTGGGTCAATTTTCGGATGGTTTGGTGTTGGGCGTCCCTTGTTGGATAACTGTAAATATGGGAGGTCCATATTTTGCTTTTGCTGTTCTATGGTCCTGCGGGACTGCCTACCTGCTTGCCTGGCTTTTCAACTTTGCTTGGCTCAGATTTCGACTGGACTCGGCTCCGTCTAGATTACTCGGATCTGCAGGGCTCAATGCCGGTCTTGATTGTTGGTTTGGTTGGTCCTCGCTTTTCTGGTTTGCTATCCTTTTCTTTCTTTGTCTTCGCACCTTCATTTTTTTTTTTTGCTTGGGTGGATACCTCACAGTTACGTATACACCCAACCTTCTTTTTGGTTTCCTTGCCTTCTGTTTCGGTTCTAACGTTACTATCATACACGAGTGGACTTTGGTAGTGGGGTTCATTGGAGATGCTGGACAAAACAGAACATATCTATGTACACTCCGGGGCCGACATTGTTGCAAGAGCCACGCAATGCTACAGTAGGCTGGGGATTGTTTACTGGGAATCCTCCATCTGTCTATGTACTTCATGAGCCGGGGACACATGCATCTGAGACTTGACATCTCTTTATCTCGGTTTGTACAGGAATATTGGGGGATTAGTTTTGTGCATATTGGTTTTCGAGATGGAAATATCGAGTAATGACAAACGTCAAGTACGGTACCTGTCCGTCTGGCTCGTCGAGCAGTGTGAGGTGTGTTAATCTTGGACGACTTGTCTGATTGGCTCGAGCTGTTGTGCCTGTGCCGACCGTTGCGGTTGCCCGGTGGCTGCATCGACAAGGTGTGCTCGAGCCATCTGGGGAAGACTCCTGGGCAACGTCAATAACATTGCAGCACGACCACCTCGAACAGAACCTGGTGTCTTATTCTTGCAATGTGCGCCACTTGTGCAGTCAGTTGCTAAGCTCACTCTGATTGATTCCGCATTGCGTGCATCTCGGGATATCTTCCCAAAGATTGCGCTCAATCAATTCCATCTGGTGATTTGCGACGTTCCTCGGTTTTGCCGAGGCGACAGCCCGTCCGCAAAAAGTAAACAAAACACCCTGCACCCTTTCTTCCCTTTTACCTTCCTCACCACACCGGATCGAGCACACGCTGAGACATCTCCAGCGCCACACGAGAAGCCACAAGAGACACCAAATCAAACCATCGCGGTTCTTGCAACCACATATATCAGTCAACCTAACACTTCATAAGGATACTAGTCCTATACATGTGCCCAAAAAATAACAATGCCGCCGCCCTCTCGCTCTCAGAACCAAGCCATGCCCCGGCACCAACACCATCAACCTGTCCATCCGCACCACCAGGATGATGATGCTCACAACCACCATCAACCGCCTCGTCCTGCCCCGCCACTGAGGACGTACACCTCGTCCTCGGGCATGGCACCGAGAAGCCGCTTCGTCGAAGGGTCTATGAATGACCGCGTCAGCGCGGCGCCTCCGCCGGGGTTCTTGGGGCCCGAAATGACCAGCGCTAACGCGAGCGAGGAGGCCGAGAACTGGGAAAGGCGGTATTACCCCCCTTCGTCGTCTTCCAACAACCACAACAACACGTTGCGCCGGCCTAGAAGCAGCGCCGGTTGGAGTGTGCGGAACCTCAACACGAAGAAGGGAGGAGGAGGAGGCGGCTTCTTCCTTGCGCCGTTGTGGGATGGGGTCAGGGAGAAGCTGAATCTGAGGGCCGCCAAATCTTCGGGGAGTATCGGGAAAATGATGATGATGGGTACCAGCGGGAGCGTCGGGGTGGAGAATGGGAATGGTAGTGGGAATGGACATGGGAATGGAAACGGAAAAGCAGTGAAGGGTGAGGTGCAACGGCAAGGGACAGCGCCGGCGGCCGGGATTGACGAGGAGAAGTACCCCAGCCGCGAGGAGGTCATGGAGAGCTATAAGAACCTGGTCGCGTCTGGCTTCTTTGAGACGCACGCTATTCGCGGCGGCAGACACCCACCGCGGACCGGGCCGGCCGTTCAGGGGACTCCCGCACCGGCGCCGGCTAACAAATCGTTTGCTGATCATATGGCCGCGCACCAACAACAGCTGCAGCAGCCGCAACAGGCCGCCTTAGCTTCTGCCTTGTCATCGCCGGAGCGACCCACCGCTAGCATACAGACTTGCCCCCCTCCGCTTCCCCTTCCCCCTCGCATTTCGTCGCAGCGCGGCCGCCAGTCACGCTACCCCCCGCTCTCCTCTCCTCAACGCGGCACCAAGCGCGGCGCGTCGCTGGATATGGCCGCCGACGCAGAAACGGCCACGCGCAAGCTCGTCAAGAAGCTGCGCCACTCGGCCTCGCGCATGTCGAACGAGCTGATGTGGTCGTCGAATCACACCCACACGGCGGCGGCCCCGCGGCTCTCGACGTCTTCCAGCCGTCCGGCTTTGTTCAGCAGCAGCAGCAACGCAGCGCCTCCCTCAGACACAATCTCCCCAGCCGCGGCCGTCACGGACAGCGAGACCCCTGCGAAGTCGGGGAAACTGACCAAGGCAAAGGACAAAGACAAGGAAACCCGCCGCCGCCGGATCCTGCTGGGCGGCCTCGGACGGAAGCAGCACCATCACCAGCCAACCGCCCCAGCAGCTGCCGAAACGGATGTTGACCCTGACGTGATGATGGTTGACCCACCGGAGCCGGAACAGCCCGAACAACAGTTCAAACCGCAGCAGCAGGAGCACAACAACAGGCCGCCGCACTACTACCACTACCACTACCCGCAGCGCCTGCGCACCAGCCCGAGCGTCACCAGCATGCAGCAGCAACCGCATGAGCCGCTGAGCGTGGTGCCCGACCCGAACCAGGGCATCCCCGGCGTGCCGAGGATCCCGAGTGGGTTGCGCCAGCACCCCCAGGTGACAATGGTGGTTGTGGAGGGTGAGGGCGTCATCGGGCAGGAGGAGATGATGGCGAGGGAGGAGAACAAGAAGGCGGCCGCGGGAAACAGGGATTCTGGGCTCGGACACGCGGAGGATGTCGAGAATATGCCTGTTGCGGTTGTGGGGTGGAACTGACTTTTTTATCTTCCCATTGTCAAGGGTTCTTGTTCGTTTCCATTTTCGACTTGTCTCCTTCTTCACGACGGATGAACGGCCTCGGTCTCATTCATTCGGCTTCCGGGCGGTTGAATACCCCCCCCTGGGTGGAAAGAGCAGGGTGGGTTGGTTTTTGTTCTGGTTTTATGACTGATTGTTTTGATGATTTGATGACGGTTTTTCTCTTTCTATCGACCCCCCTGACGACGCTTCATGACGCACATGATGACAGTTTACAATACTGTACATGTACATCCATATATACACTCCTGTAATGCAACTGCGGACAGGCAAGATAGGGATATATATATGTGCACTGCACGAACCGGTCTGGGGATGTCTTGTGGCGGGGCTTATTGGAAGATGTATATGTAATGTGTTGTACGTATATATGTTGGAGTGTCCCATTGTCTGGCCGGCTTAGGGTTGCTTAGCTGGGGAGCTTCAGATCTGAACGAAAGAAGGATGATGAAAAGGAGGAGGACAAGGTTCTTTGTAACGACAGGACAGTTGTCGGGTAGTGGAAGTGGAGGTGTTGCTTCTCGTTCTGCCGCACGGCGATACAAGTTAATGAATTGCTGGCCTGATGCCATACTGCGTTGTCCTGCTTGACTCAAGGTGGATGGCTTCATGGTCGCACCCAACTCTTAGAGGGAATATTGAGGTTGTACTGTGATACTTATATGTATATTGCGAGAAGGAATCGGGCTGCTGCTTGAGGAGGATGGACAACACCAGCGACCATTTTCGGGTCAAGGCAGTGACTGAAAGGTTACTACTGTACCATGCCGTGCTGTCGAATAAAAAGAGGGTAATATGCACTTGACTTGTCTATATGGTATTAACCATCTCCGCAACCATCGTTCAAGTTTAACGCCACTGCATAGTATGTAGAAATGATGTTTGTAAACAGCAATGATCCAGCACGGCAGGCAAGCGGCATGATACTCGAATATCTCTATAAATCTAATGTATACATATCTGGCAAGACCGATTCGTGAAACAACGAAACAATTGTTGTCCCCGGCAGTTGCCTGGCAGGGGTTGCAACCTCGCTCGAGAATTGCCTCTCCGGCCTCGATCACAGCTTGAGAAACACTGAGACCAGTACTAGTAGCTATCAAATACCCGTTCGCTTGTCCGAACAAGCTCCCTTTTGAAGATTCAAACGACTGTGTGTGTGCCCGCATTGCAACTTCCCTCCCTGCTTATTAACCCCCACACTCCAGCAAAACGGTGAATCCCACAAGTCAGTTACCATGAGCTGCTCTCTCGCGACGTATGCAGCACTCAAACCGAAAACCAAACGCTGCCTTCCTCCCAACCAATCATTTATTGAACCATAGAAAGAAAAGTGAGTAATGGAGGAAAGGGAATCGTTTCCGTCCCTCAAACGCGGGACTACCTTATCTCACCGGCAAAAGCTTGCGGGGCATCCTCTACGGCCGCAGCTGGCATAAAGCGAGTGAGCAGAGACCGCATGCCGTGGGCCGCCGGCGCCGGGGGCGTAATTATGTACCGAACGCCATGGAATATCATTACGCACACCATCAAGATGAGCAGCGGAATCTGGGAGCATCCGGTTAGCAAGGGAGATCGAGGGCACTTAAAGCAACGCTCATAATGGAGACGGTGGCACATACCCAGATAAAGAACAGATTCCGATCCCAAGTCTGTTTCCTCAAGTTCGCAGCGTGCGCCCGTCGGAGCGTCGCCTGCTGCTCCCTGGTGATGGCGTCCTTGCGGCCAATTTGCAGCAGCGGGGGCAGCTCCTGGGACGGAGAGTCCTCCTCGGCGGGGTCTCGGTCGCACCTTTCAGCGTTCACTGGTCGACTTTCAGACTGGCTACACCGAGTAGAGCACTTGGCGTTCGCCGAGGAGGTTTCGGCCTGGTCGTAGAGAGCACTACACTTGGCGTCCGCCTCAGCCTCGGCGGCAGCCGCCGCGGCAGACGCCTGCTTGGTATCCAATGCGCTCTGCGGGAAGAGTTCGTCGTAAGCCGGAGGAGGTGGGATGTTGGTGCTAAGGCCTAACGGTAAGGGATACCACCATCGGGTCTCCTGGTCCTTGGTGGAGGACTCGCCGTCAGCCGATCCTGGCCTGACACCCCCAATGTTGGGCACCATGGCCGCGAGCCGCTGGAGCACGGCGGCCTGGTAGTCTGGCAACGGAGGCATATTTGGCATTTGTGGGAACTGCGGAAGTTGTGGGAGTTGCGGGAGCTGGGGGAAATTTGGCAAATATTGCAGCCGCGGCGTCATCAGCATCTGTTGGAGCTGTTGAAGCTGAGTTGTAACTTGTTCCTTAAATGATGCAATGGCGGCTGTTGGAGAACCAAGTACGGTAGAATCGTCGCTGCCTGGAGACCGGGAACGGGAAGGACTCGTTTCGCGGCGAGGAGTGTTTGCGATGCTCCTGCGGGCTCGCATGCGGAGCCCAGAAAGCTGCAGTCCTTCACCTTCGTCGGCGATATCCGAAAGGGCGGAGTCTGAATACTCCGGGCTCTCATCTCCAGATCCGACTTCGTCACTCGATGTTTCACTAACTGCCTGAGATCGCAGTAGCTGCGCGTGCAGCGACTTCAGACTGGCTACACTGCTAGCGCGGCTATGGTGCACACTACTGCTCTGAGATAGCCTATTCAGTTCGAATCGGTGCACGATGCGGATGAGTTTCGGCGATGTGGCGACGTCTGCTGGCGTCAAGCCTGACAAGGTCCGCAGCGTAGGGTCAGCGCCATGGGCGACAAGCAATTGTGCAATTTCCGGGTGGTTGTTGAGGCAGGCAAAATGCAAGGGAGTGTAGCCGCCTTTATCACGCACGTCGGCATTCACGCCGCGCGCCAAGAGACCCGCCACAAACCGGTGAAGGCCTAGCTTGCAAGCCAGATGCAGCATTGTTTGCCCAGTTGATCTCCGGAGGTTGAGCCGCGGCTTACGAGTAGAGTTGCTGAGGTCGATCAGTTCCAGCACATTGAGAAGCCGGCTCTCGAAATTGCCGTCAGAGGCATCCATGGCGCGACCCGAGGATGCCTCGCCACCAGGCATCTCGCCGCCAGGTGAGGGATAGCGATGCCCGGCTTCCTTGATGATCCGGCGTGCAAAGTCAGCCACGTCCTCATATTGGCCCGTCATTTTGTTCCCGAGAATCATCAGGGCAGTGCGCAACAGCTGTTGCTCGCTGTCATCCACGTATCTGAACCACTGAGTGGCTGGGTTTTGCGACTGTACGCCGTGGACCATGAGAGAGACCGGCACCATGCCAGCTGACTCTGAAGGAGGAAGCAGGCAGACGAGTGACTCTGACGACCAGAATGTTGTCGCAGGCGACTGTTTATCGCCAAACATGACATGCATACCGTTAAAGAAGCCTTGGCCCATCAGAGTGACCTCGACGCCTCCCGTCACGGGCCCCTCGTTAGGTATGATTTTGAATATCACCGGAGCCACCGGTGCTGGTGTAGCGCCGCCTGTCATTGATTGGGACATATGGCCCCTCGCTGAAACCCCAGCGGCGTTCGATCCTCCCCGTGGGTTACTCCGACTAGACGCAGTGTTTGGACGACTCGATCCCGAAGGGCCAATCCACGGTACGTTCAGACCAGGAAGGCCATCTGTCCTGCCGAAATCAGGGAAGAGTCGCTGGTGGCTGTCATTGCGCGGCGGTGGGCTCGGTCCAAATGGGTTCGTCAACGGCTCCGGTGCGGCAGCGCCAGTGCCAAACAACGGTAGGTCGCCAGCGGGTGTGAAGGCTGCAGGAGTCGTGGGAGCGAACGGTGAGGTTGCTGGCGTTGGAGGACCCGCACTGGCGGTCGAGGTGGGCGGCTGGGAGCCGCCGCGCAGTTGTGCTGTCTCCAGCCGTGTCATGGTCAAATCGCTAGGAATTTTGACCGATCCATTGGCTCTCCGTTTCTTAGCCGGGCCGCCCGGACACAAAGAAGGCGAAGCTGGCCGGGAAATGGTTCTCTGGTGCTGGGGGGCCATCGCTGACTGGAGCTGGTCAACTGGCGCTCCTGTAACGGCTGTCGAGCCTGACGAACGTCGCCTAAAAGCATGCGGCTCCGAGCTGGAATCCAAACCCGGGGGCGAGTCCATTGATGTTACAGCTCCCGGGCTATTCTGAGTCGACAGGCCTGGCGGTGGACTCAAGATCGGAACTGCGACGCCGGGGACGGAAATTGGAGGTGCCTGTGTCTTGTGATCGTCGGTGATCATTATTGACGGCGACATGGCTTGAGCGATGAGCTGGCCATGATGGTCGGTCATTGTGAAAATTACCTGGAATCCTAACTTCTCGGCATGGTGCCGGCAATAGCATGCGATCCTCATGGGTATCTCGACGTAAAAGAAGGGCCGCGAGCCGAAATCGGCAGGTGTCTGGAGCTTCCAGTCCTTGACCTCGTGCGTGTTGAAGACTATCACCCTCCGGCCCTCGTCGTTTACCCAAGCCCGCTCGTCTTCCGGGTTTTTAACCTTTTTTCGCCCCGCGCGCTTGCGCTCTCTTGTTATGCATCCGGCGCAGATGTGGACCTCACCTCCTTCCTGAGGTGCAAGTTCCTCGGTATCCCCGCCGTCCTTTGAAGGTTCAGCAGATTTCCTCACGAGTTGCGCAGCGCGTTGCGCTCTTTCTAATGCGGCTATCCTTTGCTCCTGGTTTCGCATGGCGCTCGTGCACACTAGAACGGCATGTAGCTCGAGCATATCGGGCGACGGTTCCGCCGGTGGCTTCGCCCATAGTTTGGGTTTGCTGATGGTATGCTTCGGAAGGTGGAGTCTCGTAATGCGCGGCGGAAGATGCGAGAGCCGGAGCTTGATGGCAATCTGCGTCTCGACTCTAGATTTAGGGTTAATGGGCTCAACCTCCAATCTATACGGCCCAGGGCCGTAATGACCACGCTCGAAAATGTGCGCGGGTGCATGAAGCGATCCGGGGAAGAAGCTTCCTCCTGCAGCATTGCCCATGCTCAGCATTCCGATCAGGTCCGCCGGCACGGTTCCTGTGTCATCAGGCGCGCCATAAAATCGGTACCTTGGAGGAGGTGGTGATAGAGATTGCGAAGGGCGAAGGCTGAGCGCCGAGGGGGCGAACGACTGTGTCACGGTCGCTGAATCTGGCCGCACCCCCGTCGCGGATGGATTAAAGGCGAAGGACTGCTAGATGGTTAGTCGGGTGATGTAGCGGAGCACGAAGCTGGCAGCAGACTTACGGCGAGATTGTCATCAAACGATGTCACGGAAGCGAAGGGACTGGGGCTGTCGGTAGGGCTGCGCAGATCCGGCTGCATGGTAGCGGAACTACTTGGAAAGTCAAAGGCGCTGGACATGGCTGCGAAGTCGCTGGTATTTGTCCCTTCGAGGAGATCTGGCATGGCCCAGGGCGTTTTCACATCGTCCACCATGGCCATATCGGCACTCGTCACATTCGTAGACGCCGTACTTTGCGCCTTGTTTGATGGTTCCGAGTCGAACATGGACTCCTGAGACCCGTTGGTTGACGGCGAGCTATTATTGCTTGCCAGGCCGAGAGCTTCTGACGGGGAATTGTATTCGGCGGGTGCATCTGGCATGGTTTCCGAGGAATCGGCGCCGGCGCTGTCGGGGCGGGCTGGAAGCGGACTCCCTTCGTCGGAATCGAATATAAACTCGGTTGTGTGATGGCCAGGCATGATGCCGGCGTCGAATTGGAGGTCGAATTCTGATTCGAACATGTCTGAATCGGGCATTTTTGCATGGAGGAAAAGGCGACAGCAAATCGCCCAGATAACTCAGGCGGAGGGAAATTGCCGCCGAAACCGGGTTAGAGGCACTGGGAATTTGGGAATTAGAGAATCGGTCACGAAACTGTGGGCATGTCGGATTCGATGGGACAGCATGGGAAAGGGCGCGTGTGTCGCTCCTGAGAGTTGTGGCTGCCCTCTGGCAAACATACGGTAGGCAGTTAAACGTTAGGTATGGAAAGAGCAGAGATGAATCCAGGTCACAACCGAAAAGCAGAGGTCGTCAGGGCCACGCAGGACGCCAGCGTTCCTGAGGGAGCTTATCCGTAATTGCTGGGGGCAGGGGACCCAGTTTGCCATGCTGCAAGAGTCACAAAACACAAAACATTCAACTCACTGTGCACGTATGCAATTAACCAGAGCGGTAGATGATGCTTAAGTACATACATTTATGATTAGTTATCGCCAATCATTCCATTTCGTTGCATAATCAGTGGCGGAACGACATGCAGCCTACAACAACGGTCACAATCTTTCTGCAGCTAATCTGTCACAGTTCGTTCCCCGGTACGGATAATCCCTTCATGAGGAGACGCTTCCGAAGATAAGGTTGAGAATAGGGTAGTGCGTCCGGTGTGAAGTAGCATTTGCATCTTACACGCATCAAGCTTGTGGGAATACCTGGAGCGCCGGGACACCGGTCCAGAACCCAGAATTACACCCAGTGCAGGCAAGGCGGTGAGCCTGGTGGAAGGATTCTGATTCCCAACGTTAGAGGAATTTAGAGATATCCCAGGTTTCTAGGTGCTGTATGTCCGGCAATGGGATTCATCTTGAAGAAGGAATGAAGAATGTTGAATATGCTACAACGTACAGTACGAAGCTATATATGCTGAGATAAGCTGGAGATGTCAGCGTACAGTACATACACAACTACACCTTGATCCCTATGTTCATCCCATCCTGCATTCAAGATCCGCAGGGAGGCACGGCAGGTTTCCGAGCAGCTCGCATTTCCTACTGGAATGGAGTAAAGCTGACTGGTCAGTTGAATGAATGGTCATGATTTAATACATAATCTAACCCCTTCCCACCATCAAGGCTTCGCTCCAGAGCCTTAACTTTGGTTGAGGCAACTGAACGTACGAAGGTTGTTACATATGCCAAAAAAAGCCCATCTGTGTACAGTACATACAGTGCCCTACACATCTTGAAACGCGCTGCTATTGCCCTACGCAGTAGATGCATACCGCACGAGGCACTGCATAGCACCACTGCAACGAGATCAATGTGGTGGCTCTTGTTCAACTCGATGTAAATGTACAAGTACGTACCGGGCTCAGGGCCAGATATCTGTGTTATCCACAGCCCTAACCACCACCTATCCACAGCATGACCGATCGGACACGTAGCGATATGACGCAACGACTTTTATGTCGACCTGTCCTACTCGCCATCGCCATTTGGCTGCAATTCTGGTTTCACACTACATTATATTATGTACATTGCATATATTGTGCCGAACTCGGCTAAGGGCATATGCGCTGCTACAGGGTCTCAACTGCTGCGTGCATGTCCTAGTGGGATCCAGAAGCATCGGTGAATCGGCCGTAGCCGATTCCCGCGGGCTCAAGAATAACTTTAACTATGTATCTCGACGGGCAAACCGCCGGCTTTTAGGACCGCGAGGCTGCTCCTGGCGCGGTACGTGATGCGGCCTGTACTCTGCCCCTTAAGTGAACACAGCGATGCGAATAGCCTGCCAGGGGTGTACCCCTAACTCTATCATTGCTGAGCAGTCGATTTTGTCGTTGCCTCTGCTTCGAGGGTCCGCGCTTCGCCATTGCGAGGAGTCGGAGGTTGGGCAAACGACACTCGCACCGTTTCCGCAGCGCTACTCGTGACCGTTTCGCTCGACTCCGGCCCCTCTGCTCGAATCCTCACCTCCCCGACCTCCGCCTCTGCGCCCTCATGACGCTTGGGGATGACATTACCGCCGACCCTAAAGACGGGTCGCTCGGGCTCGGGTGGAGCGGCTCTCAGGGAAACCTGTAGTTCCCCGCTTGATCTTGGCCGACGAATGGCAAACGTGGTCACTCTGCTGCCAAGCGTGAAGGGAGGCACGTCAGTTCCAGCGTCAGTTGACCGCCCACCCCGTGAGAGGGTCTGTGGGATATAGAACCACAGCCTTCCTAGCGGAACCGTGAGCCCGTGGACCACCTGCGGAGTTCCGGTCAGCTGCCGATATCCAGAGACTTACAGCCAGGGCGACTCACAATGCTGCAGATTGCTATGAACCACACCACCACAGAAACTTGTTCCGGCATCTTCCTGACATCCTCCCGAAGCTCGCCGTCTACTTCTATTGTATGCAGAAACTCTAGGGTAATGTAAAGGTAAAAGATGGCCGATACCCCTACCGGGCCGAAGAAGCCGACATATATCGCCTGCTTGACTGCCTCGATCTGGGGTATGAATCGGTGCACCGCAAACACCCACGGCAGCCGCCGAAACAAGAGCACCAAAATGCCCAAGGCAACAAGCCTACCGATGGACACGGACGAGTTGTGCACAAACGCGTCCCATGGGCACACGGCACCAAACCACATAAAAACGGAGACGTTGAGCAGCATGTCGATGGTGGGCTGCAGCGAGTCATCGGCCGTCTCGAGCCGGAACCAGTCGTCCCAAGTGAAGACATTGCCCGCAATGAAGCAGGCGAGCACGTCGTCGCTGCCAATCATGCCGCACGTGCCCAGAATAAAGAGCGCCAGCGAGATGGCAAAGACGAGGAAGCTCTCGCGGTCGACCCACTTGCGCTCCTCGGCCCAGTGCAGCAGCCGCTTGGCCAGCCAGCCCACCGCCGCGCCGTAGACGATGCTGAGCAGGACCGTGTACCCCCACGTTTCGCCGAACCAGAGGCCCATGGCCGTGCCCGCGCCCGCGGCACCGCCGGCCGACGACCCGTCGCTGCCCACGTACTTGATCAAGTACAGCGCGAAGAAGAGGAACGGGTAGCCCAGCCCGTCGTTGGCGCCGGACTCGGCCGTGATGAGATGCTGCAGCTCCTTGGGCAGGTTGTTGTCGGCGAAGCGGCCCTTGACGATGACGGCCGACAGCACGGGGTCGGTGGGTGTCACGCACGCGCCGATGGCCAGCGCCTGGAGGATAGTGAGGCCCGGGACGAGCCCCCAGACGAGCAGGCTCGTGGCCACCCACATGGCCGTCATGATGGGGCCGACCAGGATGGCCAGGGGCTTCCACTGCTTCTTCAGGTACCGGCTCGGCAGCTGGACGCCGGCCAGGACGAGCTGCACGCCGAGCACCAGGCGTGAGAAGTTCAGAGTGATGGCATCGAGGTTTTCCTCAGAACCCAGGCCATACTCGAGCGGCCGGATCAGGTTGGCCGCACGCGGCGAGAAGGCGACGCCGGCGAGGAGCGAGATGACTTTTTTGACGTGCAATTTGAGGGTTAGCTAGGAAGGCGTCTTGATTCTATGCGCAGTGATTTAGCCTTAACACTTGGCAGGTATGACGTACGAGCTTCAGAAAGGTAGAGGCTCTCTTTGCAGAGGTACGAAACCAAGCCGAACAACGAGATCCATCCTCCGAGGACGCTGACGGCAATGTTGAAGTTGGTGACCGCCAAAGTCGGCATTTTTGCTCTTTTTAATGACCGTGGTCAAGCTCGCTGCTTGTTTCGTCCACAATAGACATTGACAGATGCAGCAATGCCTTCTACTACGCCAAGCCGCGTACGAAACCGTAGCAGCGAAAAGCCAGTGTTATTGAACCATGGGGGCCGAGAATCAGAGTGTGATACTGTAGTCTGTAGAGTGTTATGTTTGGCCGCAGGGAATTGGGATGCAATATCGAGAACTCGAAGTCTTGCACTACAGACCGGAGCCGACACCCGATGCAAATCAGCTTCGACGGAGCCACAACGTGGGTGGCAAGCGGAGTCGAGCGACACTGCTTGATTTCACCGAGTTTTTGCAGAAGCCCAGGATGGTAAAGAGTGGGTCGGGGGAAGAACAACCCAAACTTTGCTCGACGACATGTTGGCCGCTGTCCACCGCGGCCGACAGATCCGACGTCTTTATCATCAGAGATAAATTACACATGATGTACGGTTGCTGCAAGATTTGCTCGCATGCTTCTGCAAGCGCCCGGCCCGATACGGACGACTCGCTGCACAGACGGCAGGTGCAGGTGTGTGCAGTACCTTCTTGGTTGGTGGGGGTCATAGCTGGAACTTGACCGAGTGATCGGATGAAGCTCATCCAAATCTCAATCGTCGGTCCTCACTGTGACATCGAATCCAAGGATCTCAAAGCTCTCTCCTGTCGCAGGAAAAAAAATTAGAGCATGCGAATGGTTGGTAAAGTGAAAAAAAATTGCGACCTGGGGGAATCGAACCCCCCTCTGTTGCTTGGAAGGCAACAATGCTAACCACTACACCAAGGCCGCTTATTGGATGCTGAAATGAGAAGGGATTGCAGCTTATGGAAGAGCTGATCCAGTCTTGTGCAGCGGCCCTCTCCAAATCGGTGCCCCTAGTTGATGGTTCTACTTTTGCTGCAAATAAGGGTACTTCGATGCAAGGCCTCGAACAAGAAAGTTTAGGACCCAAGCGCCGAATGTCGCCTCTCAGTTGACGAGGGTTCAGCTACCTTACCTACCCTCTCTACCTTATTCAACGCTCCAGTCCTGGAACCGCTGCAGGTTTGCAATCCTGGTCCTCCCTCGTTCTATAGTTTCATGGCGGCAGCACCTCACTGAACTCTTCCAAAACTCAAACCAGAGAGGTAATCCTTGACCGACTGAGAAGGGGTGCCGGCCAGCACGATGCCTTAGGGTGGCTAAGGTACGGTACAGAATCATAAGCCGATACACTGACCAAACCTAACCCGAGTCGTTCTTCTACGAGGCCCGTCGGGCTCCTGGCTTTGAAGCGGTCTTCCATGGTCGGTAGTCGGGTATATGTCACTGACAACATCCGGCACATAATCCATCGAGCCTGTAGCTCCAGGTCCGGCGAGTCCGGGACGGGACTGTCCCGAGGAATCGGATTTTAAGTGGGGCGGCCGGAGAAAGTACCCACATTATGCCCGAGTTAAGTGGGGACTATCTCCGTGGCATGCTCGAGGAGTCGAGATTCGAGGCACACTCGGCACATAATCGCCTACCCGGGTCTTGCCTCATACACATATGTACCTGACTTTTTTACTCTAAGCCTTCACCCCCACATACCGTTCCACATACTCCCTCACCAGCTCATCCGCGCTTTTGTCCACCACCAGCCCCAGCCGCAGCGACGTCTCCAGTTCAAAATCCTGCGGCCAACTCCTCAAAATCCTCTCCTGCGCCTCATCCGGCACCTCCCTCACCAACTTCAACTTGTCCTGCCCACCATACTTGGCCAACGCGTCCAGCATCTCCTGAATGCTCACCGAAATCCCGGGGAACATAATATGCCTGATATGCGCTGGCAACACGCCGCTCTCCATGTGGAGCACCCTGACCAGGTTCTCAGCGACGGTGCTGGGCGCCGTCATGAAGGATCTAAGCCCCCTGTCCCTGATCGGCACCACACACTCAAGGCCGTTCATGGGCTCGCGGATGATGCCGCTCAGGAAGCTGCTCGCCGCCTGTGTGGGCTTGCCCGGGCGCACCGAGATTGTCGGGAACCGCGCAATGAACAGGTCCAGCAATCCCCGCCGGTGCATTTCGTTCAGGTACACCTCGGTCATGAGCTTGTGCGCCCCGTACGTACGCTGCGGCGTGGCCGGCCACGTAGGGGGTACCTTGCCGCCGTTGCTGGGGAAGGGCGGGCCGTAGACGGCCTGCGAGCTGGCGTAGATGACGCGGACGCCAGGGTGGGTTTCTTGCAGCGCTGTGGTGAGTAGCCGGATGGAGTCCACGTTAACGGCCAGCGACAGCGGGTAGTTGGCTTCGGAGCCGGCGGACATGATGCCGTGGAAGATGAAGACGGGGTGATAGAAGTTGGGCTGAGAGAAAAGCGTTTCTATCAATTCCCGTGAAGTGATGTCGCCCCTGATTGTGTCCGCGTGCTGCGGGTATTTGACTCCCTCGGGGATGATGGCTCACTGACAATGTCGGTGAGCGTCAGGCGGTACTGCGGCTCGTTGAGCGGGCGGGAGGCCAGCATCGAACCGACCAGGCCGCCGGCCCCGGTTATGAGGACCCTCATTGGGTTGGGAGTTTTGGAGGACATTCCCGGAAGTTTTTGGCAATCCTCAGTTTTCTATGAGGATACTAGTACAAGGTAGGTACCCAAATACTAGTAAATGGTAAGTACGACAAGGTTCCAGTTGGTCATATGAGCCTTTATGAGGTGGATGACTCAGGATGAGCTGGTGCCTTTCTGTTGACAGCAAACTGAGGGAGGTACCTGGTAGTCTCAGCGACAGAAAGCTCACGCCTTCGTGTCATTAACCTCCTCACATGCTCGGTACCGGACACGTTAGGAATGCGGGCATTGCAGGGTGAGGTTGACGACCAGGCTGGTCAATGAGGGGGATTTGGTGGAGTCAACCACAAAAGAGGCGTCCTATTGCGTTGTCACTTCTGCGCCCTAGATTGGGGATCCGGTGCATCTGCTAGCGTCCCATGACTCCCATCTCGGGCCAAAGATAGCACGAGGGCAAAGGGGAATCGGGTACCTTAGGTTGTCGTTCGTCTTGTTGGAGATACTCAAAAGTAGGAGACAATGAAAGGACTGCACCATGACAAGATAGGGGATTCTCGACGGTAGACTTTTATAGACAATTAAACTGACAAATATAATATGCGTAGAGTTATGTACTACTTTAGGTTCCTTGGTTTCCATATGATGTTGAGAGAGTTAGTTCCCTTCGAGAGTCGAGTACCTTACCTTCATCTATTGGCTGCGCAAATTCAGCAAGCGCCTTCCTTCTCGTAGCCGAGGCGTTTCCAGGAGGAGGCTCAGTAAGTCGTATTACTTGAACTGCAAATATAGATATGTAAGGTACTCAACTGTTTCAGGGGCAGGCTGTTCGCTGTTCACCCAGTCTCTTGTAGAACGGCTCGTTGACTTCTGGAGTTTTGTCTTCTGAGTTCCACATTTCAGCTATCCCAGTGAAAGAGAAGTTCCCGTACCTCAACTGAGTTGCCACTTACGTGATATTCTTCTTTCCCCCAGACTTTTTGAAGGATGAGCGAGCTCAGAAGTCATTGATTTCCATTCAGACCACGCTTTGGGGCAGCTCACAGCTTCCGTTGAAGATGTCAATAGTCCGTTTTGTATCTTCGGCTTCTATCCGCCCTCGAATGTGACTTGTATCGGAGATGGAAGATTCGATTCTCGTCTCGCAGTGTAGGATGAAACAAGAAGGAACTCAGAGGCAGAAGAAAAAGAACGATGGCAACAACATACAACACCAGGGATTCGCTGGTCGTCACCGACCCAACTACTAATCTGGCCCTTATAATGTTATGTTTTGGGGGAGGAGAGGTCAGAAAACAGGGGGTTTTGGAATAGGGTGTTGAAAAGCACTGGTTAAGAATGGTGGTCGTATTCCATTGTGGGTTGTTGGGTGGGTTGTTAGAGGGAAACCCAGTGCCTCTGAGGATGCAGTATAAATACAGAGGCCCCACCAGTTCCTTGTACCTTCCTAACAGAGTGCCAGGGTAGGAATAAGTGCTTCGACCCCGAAGCACACTCAAAGCCGAAACCCAACGCCGAAACCCATCGTCAAAACCTAGCAATTCATCGTATCCATATTTCCCAGCCCAGCAACCACAGGGGAGAGTGTCCAGTGCTTTTCAATCGGGAGAGCGGCGGGAGAGCGGCGGCGGCGAAGCAGCAGAGCGGCGAATATCAGCTAGGGAGCATCCACGGCAACAATGGAGGTAACACCCAGATAGCAGATGATGACGCCTTTGATTGCATTTTGAAGATCGTATTTCGAGAGCATTGTTACCCCTCCATCTCTTTTACAGTCGGTCCACCACTCCTTTTCCTCCACACACCAACCACTCAGCGAGAAATACCATCACCAGTTCTACCCCCCTTGCCTACTCCCTATAACAGTACGTTGGGGCCTAGATTATAGACCGCAGCATCTTAAAGGCACACCTACAAGAGCGCCTATTCGGCACCCAGACTATCGACAAGATGCGGCTTAAGGAGGGCAACCTTGTGACGAATCTCAGTCCCCTAACCACTGAAAGGGACTCCTCAGCCTGAAGGTACACAACAACGGGGTGAGGTTCGGTAGAGCCAAAGGGTCTACAACAATTGACACAAGCAAGTGTTCACACAGTAGTAAAGACAACTACTTGCATTGCTTACTAGGGAAGCTATCGTGATACCTATAGGCTATAGAGATCGTAATCTATATACAGCTTCCTCCAGCTAGCTCGCCCTTGCTCGCCAGCTACCATGGGCTACCCAATTGCCCTGGGTAGTCGTTTATCTTAGTCTACTGTAATCGCCTATATTCGCCGGTGTCATGGAATGACCATTGTTGGCGGCCTGAGGGGCTGCAGCCGGGTCCGCGGGACGTCTGGCGACCAATCAACGGACCAATCAGAGGATTATCACTGCCAAGATCAAGCCGTCACTGGTGAAAATGGGAAGTCACTGTCGACG